GTGTCCTTAGCAGTACTCGTTTACTTTGTACATTTTTATTTCCATATGACCAAATCTCTCTTTTCTTATTGGAGCTTGGGTCATGAACAAGACTGAAGGTGGAGAATTTGAATATGGTTCTGGCCATGTCAACCCAGTACAAGCCATTAGTCCTGGACTTGTGTATGATGCTTTTGAAGCAGACTATATAAACTTTCTCTGCAGCAGTGGCTGGGATGACAATACAGTTAGCCTTATATCAGGACACAAAAGCAATTGCCCCAAAGACTCAAGACTAGGGTCACCAAGGGATCTCAATTGCCCTTCAATGGCTGCTCAAGTTAGCACCCGGTCGTTTTCGATTAAAATTCACAGAAGAGTTAAGAATGTCGGTCATCCAAACTCCACTTACAAGGCCACCATCTTCCCCAGAACAAAAAAGCTTTACATCAAAGTAGAGCCTTCAATTCTTTCTTTCAAGTCACTTGATGAGGAGAAGTCCTTTGATGTGATTGTCCAAGGATCTGACGGTATTAATAGTGTCAGAAGCCCAATTATCCTGTACGACGACATGTCTCGTTAAGGATTTTGAATCTAAATTCAAAGCACAGTATTAGAGTAAACTTGTTTCAGAACAATTTGTAATATTTTGTTTCCTTCAATAATAGTTATTGCAATCTTCATCTGCCATCAATGCATAAGACAATTTAGTTTTAGAGGCATTGTCTGTTGGTTTGATCTCTGCAATACAATTACGTAGAGGGTGCGTCTTTTCTACTTTTAACACACCTCTTTTTAATGCGACTAAAATACCCATTAATACAATTACTTTTAAAAGACAATAATATTTTTAAAAAATACTCATTACAAGCCTCATCATTAAAAAAATATTTTCCCTTCTAAAATTTCAAGGTTGAAGAGTCTCCCCACAAAAAGATACCCGGTTAAAATTTTTCTTAAAAATTCTTATTTTTTTCAATTCAATTTTTGATGGTTATATAATTAGTTTTAAAATATTCATTGTTATATGGAAAAATATGTGCTAACACGTGGGACGGCGATAGCGCTTCACGTTGTTCTATGTTTGCCACAACAGATAACAGTCGACGTCTGAGCCTTGTTTTTCTTCTGAATGATTGGAAAGGCCAAACATATGGACGAATCCTTAGACCGCTGACCACTCAAGATCGTCAAGGCTTGTATGACTTACGCATTGGAAGCTCCACAAGAGTCAGTCAAGCGAAGAGCCTAGTTTCCTAGTATAGACGTTGAGGGCAGAGTACGGGTTAAGGAGTACCTCAATAAAGATTCCAGACACATGCAGGTTGCGTCTGGTTCAAAAGATGTCAGTAGCACAAGGATTAATTATGAGTCCCTAAGACCGCCTGTAATGGACAGTTGAGGATTACAGGATCTGCAGAGCCGTAATAAGGGACAAATTAGATGAGTAAACAGTACAAAAGGTGTTGACAAGCTATGATCTGGTCCCATAGGGTAGTAGGCCACTTGAGTGGATATGCCTACAAAGAAGAACCGCCCACGAAGTAATCGTTGGGCTATAAAAGGGGCAGAGCCCCAAAGGATGAGGGGGATCTTTGTCATGTAATAACAATAGAGAAAAAAAGATATACAATACACAATGGATGTAGTTCTTGATTAACAGAGTGAACTGTTATAAAACTTGCGTATCTTTTATATTCATTCAGGCACTACTTCCCCACTTTCTAAATTACCATACCACAAAAAAGCACTTTAGCAGTATTACACCAAATATATAAATAATTTCGGGTCGTTAACCCAACAAAATATGAAAAGGTAATCCAACGTAATTCTGTTGGCGAAATTTCACCGTCAACATTCATGATTTGTGAAAAAAATGTTTGAAGAGAAAGATTCGTGAAAGAGCCGCTGGCTTGCGGACTTCACTGTGATTGAATGTGGAAACTGTTTTTGTGTGTGTGTGTGTGTGTGTGTGTGGTTGCATACGTCTTCTCCTGTAGTCGGCATATTCAGTACTTTTTTATTTTAAAGCGACAAGTGCTCATAGTTTTTTGTAGTTTTCTAATTATTTTGTCGTTGGAAGTTGAAAGTTGAGTTCTTGATATTTTGAATCATTTTAACGTCTAACAAAAATAATTGTTATGATATTACGAAAGCAATAATATCCCATAAATGAATTTATTTAGTACGACAATATCATAGAAGAACGACAAAAAAAGTAGAATAGGGTGGTTTAAGAATGTGTGTAAAAAGTAAAATTATGAGTGATTTAATTGTAAGGGCTTTTTTAAAAATTTAAGATGAGTATAACAAATAGAATAGATGGTGGTTTAAGAATGTGTGAAAAGTAAAAAAATTAGTGTTAATAGACGCACCCGTATGTGGAATGCATTTCTTGAAAACATTTCTTTGATTTCTCACTGATTTACGTTGGTATGTCACATTTAGAACTGCGAAAATGCGAAAGAATAAGCAATATCAGCCAAAACGACATGCAGTCTTAGGCATAAACCGTAGTAAATTATAAACGACAACAAAATATGAACAACACGTAAAAACATGTCGTTTTAATGACTTGAGCCTTTTGAAACCTATTTTGCACAATAATAACCCAAGGTTCTCCGCAAACCATTTTCACTCACATTTCTAAAATTCTTATAGTTCTAATGATTTAACTAAATATTAGTTTAAATTTTATTTCATGTTTAAACCTTACTAAAGACCAGTTCGAACCACAGAAAACCCACGTATAAATTTGGTTCAAACATAAAAATTTAAAACTACACAATTTGAACCCACAAAGAAATTTCACTATAATTCCAACAACAAACCAAACAAGGCTTATGTGTTCTTTTTCACCTTAAACGACAACAAAGTTTAAACTAACAAATAAGAACGACAAAGAGACATGATTGCGTGTCCCTTTTTTTACTTTAAATTTAAATGACAATAAAATGTTGAGAAAAGTGCATGTGTGTAGATCCACATGGTAAGTGGATGGATATGTAAAATGATTTTTATACATGGAATGACTCAAGACCCAATAGTAGGGATTTTTACGGAATTTGTCAATTCGATTGATCTATCAAACCCAATCTAATCTGAAGTTTTTGATTGGATTGAAAAAAGTTTTGAATTGCACACTGATTGAGGTTTTCCTAATCCAAAGGTTTTGAATTGGTTTGGGATTTGAGCATTTCTCAATTTGTAAAATCCGTAAATCCGAAACATATTATATATAATATATATAATTTTTTAGGTTAAGTTTTATTTTTAAAAAAATATAAGTAAGTGTAATCTCTTTTTGATTATTCATATTTTATGGGAAGCCCGTATTCTTAATTTCTTACTTAATCTATTTATATTATTTTAAAGTAAAGCTTAAAACGAAGAATTTGTTAAAGGATTTTTTGTTATGCTATAAAGGAGTAATCTTGACAAGCACTCCTTGAAAATGTACAGATCAAGATTTTCATCTTTTACTTTTGATTCATAACCTTTTTAGTCAAATAATTACATTGATAAAATGATATTTATCAAGAGTAAAAAATAAAAGTCCAAGCTCATGTATCCTTAAGATAAGTTATAGATGTTAAACTTTGACAATAAAAAATATTGTTGATAAATGATGGAGATTTCATATCGTACTTTATTTTATATGAATGTTTAATAATTTATTACTTTCAAAGGTCGTAATCTGCAGAATCCGTGGATTCAACCTACAAAATCCAATAGGTTTCGGATTGGCCCCTACTCTACATATTCCAACTATGAACGCCCCTACCCAATAGGTTAACCTTTTGGGTCATATTAGATTCCTGAAGTGTGTTGGGTCAGTTTCACATGTGGAGTCTCCCCCAACAAAGTGGTATTAGATCTGATGGTTTGTATAGGCCAAACGATCACACTCGGTTGCACACATATGAGGAGGAGATTGTTGAGAAAAATGTATGTGGGTATTGTCTCACAGAAAAAGTGGATGGGCATGTAAAATACATTTTCAAATCCAAAGTTATTTTTTATTTTTTATGTTATTAACCCATAAAACCTCCATATATGTACTAGGTTTGAAGAGATTCAAGGACGAGGAAGAAAATCAAATGGTATGTTCATTTGCATAATTTAAGTCATGAGTTGAGTTGTGTATATGAGAGAAAAACATTGTAACAAAAAATTAAACTTAAATTTTTATGAAAGGAAATACTATAACAATATGACTTGAGTCATGAAATGAAAAAGGCTAAAGACGTAAGTTTAACATATACTCTCTAATTGAGACAAACAATTTGAAATCTTATTAAAGGGTAGCAACGCTCCAACCACATGAGCTAACCCGCTTCGTTTAGGGGAGTCCATAATTACTTGCTAAGTTATAAATAAAACGTTATTTTACCTTGTTCTTTGCATTTTTCTTTATTTGGTTAAAATTTAGAAATAACTACCTTTAAAAGAAAAAAGAACAAAAACAAAAAGTCAACGAGGTACTAATTGAGGGAAAAAAAAAAAGAAACTCTGTTTTTGGTCTGCAAGAGAAGCCAAGTACAAAATTGATGCAAAATCATTGCCTTAATGCCGCTTTTTTTTAGCTCACATACTCACATTGAAAAATGAGGAAGTCATTTTAAAAAAAAAAGAAAAAAAAAACAGAAAATGGAAGTCCAACTTTCATGCTAATTTCGGAGGTTGACTTATGGAAGGAACATGAAGCCTCTATAATATATTCCTCTTCACATAACAAAAAGGAAAGAAGTCAAGAACTTTACTAATACTTCCACTAATATTGCTGTCAATATATTGCATTAATAATGAGAGTAAATATTTTGATACCGTAATTTTTTTTGAACAGCTATTTTGATGCCGTATGCATATAATATTTTTATTGTGCAAGATCTCTCTCTCTCTCTCTCTATATATATATATGTGTGTGTGTGTGTGTATATATATACACACACATGTTATCCCTCACTACTCCTCATAGCATACAACTATTCTCTTTTGTTTTCACCATTTGTTTATGAAACATGGGAAACTATGGAGCTTTTCTGATCTTGTTCTCTATTCTCATCCTCACCATGGGCTTAAATTGCAAAGCCAATGATGAAGATAGAAAGGCAAGTACACATGGTTTCTGTCACTTGATGACTATTTCAATAGATCAAAATCCAAACAGAAGTAATAAAATCCATCAAAAAGCCCCCATTGGCACTTTTTGGTCTTATATATATATATATAGTTTTTAGTGTTTTATATGTGACTCTTTCCTTCTAATACAGGTCTATATTGTGTATCTGGGTGCAATTCCTGATGTGTCGTACTCACCATCATCTCATCACCTTAGTATACTACGAAGTGTCATTCAGGGCAGGTAATATAGTTACACACATATATGTATTAATATATGTATGTACGTCTTATGTATCATATTCACTAATTCGTCCATGTTCAGTTTTGTTGAGAATTCATTAGTACGAAGTTACACACGGAGTTTCAACGGATTTGTAGCAAAACTTACTGATCAAGAAAAACAGAAGCTTGCCAGTAAGTGCTTTTTTTCTTTTACGTGGTTTATTTGCATCATTTAAAGGATGGTAAGACATATCATGAGACAAATAAATTATAAAATGTGTTTCTGAAACCGTGATTGGCAGGTAACAAGGAAGTAGTCTCCATTTTCCCAAACAATATTTTTCATACTCAAACAACAAGATCTTGGGACTTCATAGGCTTGAAAGACACATCAAACAGAAAACCTACCGTCGAGAGTGACACCATAGTTGGTGTTATTGACACCGGAATTTGGCCCGAATCGGAGAGCTTTAACGACGAAGATTTTGGACCTCCTCCCAAGAAGTGGAAGGGTGCTTGCAAAGGCGGACAAAATTTCACTTGCAACAAGTATTCTTCTGAACTCTTTAAAAATGATTTTAAAGGAAAGCTTTATTTGTAAAACAATTTTTCAAAACATTTAATTTATAAAATGACTTTGGAATGACCCAGCCCGACTACTGTTTACATTGTATGACCAAATGGGTTGCTCAGTATAAAAATGAAAAATATATTCTGCTAATTTCTCTTGGCAAACTTCCGGTATTTCTCCCTTGTATCATTTCATTAAACCTCATGGGCATTAGTTTCTTATGTAAATCATCGTGTGCTTAATAAATATTCTTTGTATGAGTTCTTTGTGTGACGCATTTTTATTGTCTTTTTACTCTTTATGAATAGAAAGATAAAAGAGAATAGTATTTTGGTTACATTCCATTACGAATTAGTAAACGTGTCTTGTAATTTTTGCAGCAAGCTGATCGGAGCTCGGTATTACGGAACGTCATCGGACATCGCCTCTGCATGGGATGATGTTGGTCATGGAACCCATACAGCCTCAACGGCTGCAGGGAACCATGTCAAGGGCGCAAGTTTTTACGGAATAGCAAAAGGCACTGCAAGAGGAGGTGTTCCCTCAGCTAGAATTGCGGCCTATAAAGTCTGCGATGCTGCAGGATGCTCTTCTGAGGCCCTCTTTGCCGCTTTTGATGATGCCATTGCTGACGGTGTCGACATCATTACAATATCAATCGGATCCAATGCAGCTCAAGACTTTGCCAATGATCCGATCGCCATCGGTGCTTTTCATGCGATGGTGAAAGGGATCCTGACCTTGAATTCTGCAGGAAACAATGGACCCGATCCTGGGTCTGTGTCGAGTGTGGCACCTTGGATGATGTCAGTTGCAGCCAGTAGCACGGATCGGCGAATCGTAGACAATGTTGTTCTTGACGATGGAATGACCTTAATTGTATGTCTCATTGCTCTTCTTGATTATTGGTATGAACTTTCTTAGTACATATCTAAATTTATGATAGACCAAAGTTTCAGGTATTAGATAATGGTTAAAAAAGATCTAGGACTGTTTAAATTTTGTGTTGTTGCATCTCATATGATAATGGTTAAAAAGACGTCTTGTACATTGTTATTTGTGGTTTTGTTTCGATGAATTTTAATTGTTTTGCCACAAACAGGGAAATTCTGTCAACTCTTTCGAACTGAATTTTACGTTGTTTCCTCTAGTGCATGGGGCAAATGCTTCAACTAAGTGCTCAGTATTTTCGGCTAGGTACGTAGTTTCTGCAAAACCACTTATTTTGACTTCAAAAGTTGAAAAGGAGAACATCAGTATATGAAAACAAAATGTCGATGTTATTACTTTCTTTCTGTTGCATTTTAGTTCTTGCGAGGCGGGGTGCCTAGACAAAGATTTAGTGAAGGGAAAGATTGTGCTGTGTGATTCAAGGGATGGAATCAGTGAGGCCTACAATGCTGGGGCCGTTGGTTTGATTTACGCAAACGACAGAGCAGGTGATGTCTCTTTTATCGTACCATTGCCTGCAGTAGCTCTAGAAAATGATACCTACACATATGTCCTGGACTACATCCGTAGGTCCCCAAGGTACGTACGCATTAATGCGATATACATATCCGATGTAAATTCCAATACCAATGCTAGATTTGGCTCGAATGGCATGAAATATTATTCTATTATGTGCTCCCATGCATACATAATTCTATTTTTTAATGTTGTATTTTTTCTTTTGTGTAATTATTAATCTTTGGAACTTGTTGAAGTTTTAAATAAATAATTTGAAAAAGATAATTATTTAATAATAAAAATTATTTAGCACGAAAAATAGCACTCGATTAGAGAGCTATTTTCCCATCAAGTGCTGAAATTTGACATCGGCACACTAATTTTGGTACTACATTGGAAATGTTGTTAAATACCCTTACCTCTGATATGCTTTTTCTCATTAGCCAAATTCAAATGGATTATGTTTTCCGTCAAATGAAGCACCCTTTACTTATTTTTACAGTCCGGCTCAAGCAACCATATTAAAAAGTGAAGCCAAGATAGATGATTCAGCTCCTAGGGTCGCTTCCTTTTCTTCACGTGGGCCAAATGCTATTACACCAGATATTCTAAAGGTTTATGTTTTTCCTCTTATCCCCTAATGCTCATTCTTTTTCCCCCCTTTCAATTTATATTCTTGTGTAGCCGTCCTTACTCAGAGTATGATTCAATGTATTCAGCCGGATATAAGTGCCCCAGGAGTAGATATATTAGCCTCATATTCACTTATAGTTCCACCCTCAAGCTTCCCTCAAGACAAGAGGCGCGTAAAGTTCAATATTGAATCGGGAACCTCCATGTCTTGTCCCCATGTTGCTGGAGCAGCTGCCTATGTCAAGACATTTCACCCTGATTGGTCTCCTTCAGCCATTGGATCATCTCTTATGACTACAGGTACTAGTAGTGAAAATTTCTTTCACAATACTAGGGATGCCAACTCTAATATCAACTTTATTGTACGAACTGACGTGGTTGTGAGGAATTATTCTTCTATTAGTGGGTACTTTGAAGACTGCCATGTCAATCTACCACTAAAAAGATGACAACTCGCTAACGTTCAAGTTGGTAAAAAAAGTTTAGATTAAAGTTGGTGTTTATACATTTAGATTTCCATGTGACCAAATCTCTCTCTTTCTTGTCTGCAGCTTGGCTCATGAACAAGACTAAAGGTCTCAGCGGAGAATTTGATTATGGTTCCGGCCATGTTAACCCTGTACAAGCCATTAATCCTGGACTTGTTTATGATGCTTTTGAAGCAGACTACATAAAGTTTCTCTGCAGCATTGGCTTGGATGATAAGAAAGTTAGGCTTATATCAGGACATAAAAGCAGTTGCCCCGAAGGCTCAGAACCGGGATCGCCAAGGGATCTCAATTACCCTTCAATGGCTGCTCAAGTTTCAGACGGCGTGCAGGTTGCGATTAAGTTTCACAGAAGAGTAAAGAATGTTGGTAATTCAAACTCCACCTACAAGGCCAGCATCTTCCCAAAAACAAAGTTTGATATCAAAGTAAAGCCTTCAGTTCTTTCTTTCAAGTCACTTAATGAGGAGAAGTCTTTTGATGTAATTGTCGCAGGAACTGGTTTGCCATTAAACTCTATGGTGTCTACATCATTGGTGTGGTCTGACGGCATTCATAGTGTCGGAAGCCCAATTGTCTTGCACAACGTAGTTCCATAAGATTTGAAGATAAATTTGAAGCACAATATTAGAGTATAACTGATTTCTCGTAACAATTTGTAATATCATTTCTTTTCTTTTAATAATAGGTATTGCATCTTCATATGACGGCAATGCTTAAGATGCTTTAGTTTTGGAGGCTTTGTCTCTTGGTTTGATCTCTGCAATACAATTATGCAGAATGGAATTTTTGCAACACATTTCTTTGTCAGTGTGCCATCATCACAACTGCGAAAATGCAAAAGAGTAAGCAAGTTCAGCTAAACGACATGGAGTCTTAGACATAAACAGTAGCAAATCGTAAACGACAATAAAATATGAACTACGAGTAAAAACATGTTGTTTTCCCATCTAAACGTCAGTGTTCAAAAAATAAAAAATAATAAAAAAACGGATAGACAAGGAATTCTCAAAATTTGAAAGGAGTAATGACATATACTTATTGTAAAGTGATTAAATTTTTTACAAGAAATAGTTTATAAAGCGGAAAATGTTTACTTTAGCGCTGTTTAAAACCTTTGCAAATTATAATATATACCTTACATTTCGGTAAACACGTGGTCGTCTTTGTAAAATTTCAGTAATTTATTGAAAATCAAAACTGTCAAAAATATTAAATCCAGAAACTTGTTGAGTAAAAGAAAAATTCAGAAACGAAATTCTTGCTATTTCAACATTTCATAATCAATAACACCAATATAATTTTGGAGTAGCTCAAAAATAAATTTGAAATGATTTTTTTTTTCAAATATTAAAGATTATATGTTTTTATGAAAAGCTTATATTAGTAGTTTCTAAATATATAGAAATGAGTTGAGAAGAAAAATAAAACTAAGGACTTTTTTTTTTGAGTAAATAAAACTAAAGATTTGTATTTATATAATTAATCCATAAAAACTCTTGTATGGTCTTCAGTGTGACGACCCTCCTATGAGGCCGCCATTGTAGTTTAAACTTTAACTTATACTTATTAGGGTTTCTTAAAATTTGCGGAATATTTTTTTTTTTTAAATATAAGAAGGAATACTTTCATAATTCGTAACAATAATTTCAAAAGAATGAATCACTAAATTACTTAAAACTTTTCTTAATTTTAGTTAAGATAAAACCTTCTAAAAATATCTTTCGAACTGAGTGATATTTGAACTCTTGTTTCACATACTCTTTAAAAACCTTTCTAAAACTAGCCAATACATTCGGGCCATCTAATTTGACCTTAAAAAGAATTTCGTGAGAAATCTTAAATTCAAGTACTTCTTAAAGTCCTTTCAAAATCAATCATTTAAACCGTCATGTTTAAAATTCATTTATTTGTTGCATGCACTATTGCAACGTTCTAAAACTTAAATACTCAAAACTAGGGTTGTTAGCTACAACCTCAGTTTTTGTTAGCTACAACCTCGGTTTTCCTAACATACATATGTACATATACTTTTTAAACATACATGCTTGAAACTTTGAATCATATAAACATATACATGATTTTACTTAAACTTACTGCGGAAGATTTTAATGTTAGCGGTATCCATTCCCATCTCCACCATTTGTTCGTCACTCGCCACTGCCTTTCAAGAATTGCTTATAGGTTTCTTACTTACAGCATGAACATATTTGATTGAGCTTTCGCTCAGCAAGTAGAAACTATCTCTCGCAAAATAACTGTAAGTTCACATGAATAAATATGCATGGGTTGATTATGCTTAATTATGATGTCTTATCATAGTCTTATTATCTTATCTTATATTTCTTACTGATGGGCCCAAGTGCTCGCGTACCACTTGCACGCAATCATCAGAACGTGAGGATTTGCAAGATCCCCCACGATACCGTGATTATAACTTGAATGCCTCCCTTGAGTCGGAGGACATTATTATTATTTTCTTTTTCTCCCTTGTGGAGCTTGAGTTCCCTCCCTTGTGGAGGCTGGTACGGCACTCAACTGATATTATTCTTATAAGTTCATCTTGACTTATTAAGGTGTATGCAATATGACATAGCAGAGCATACTATAACATGGAATGTACTCAAACACAAATACTTCATGTGCACTGCTTAAGTGTATGCAATATGATCTAACATAGTATACATAACATTAAATTAACTCGAACACATATAATTCATGTGCGCTGCTTATGTGTATGCAGCATGACATAGCATCGCATACAATACTTAAAGCATAAACATGCATATATAACATGTGTAACTTTTTCTTTAAAATCTATTCATACTGTAGGCGAGATTCCTACTTACCTGATTTACAGAGTTGGAATCCACTTTTCGTCAAACAGCCTATTCTCTTACTTACTTACTTCTGGATTCCGAGCTAAGCGGTTCTGATAGTATCTCGCTTGTCGTGTCCTCCTGCGTATTCCTCAAAACTAATTTTGGGAAAAGCTGTAAGCACTATGAATGATCCTTGAGGAACATTGTAGCTTTAAACACTCGATTCTGATCTTCACTTGTTTAGTCTGAACCACCTCGATTCGTGTGCAACCAGTACTAGACCATTCTTATAAGAATTTAATTTGGTTGAACGGACGTCACCATTTCGTTCAGCACGTCGAAACAAGTCAGGATATGGTCTCGGATCATCAAACGGATGTCGATAGCCTGAGAAACGACACCTCTCCGGAATACGGCGGTGGCGTACGGCGGCAGCGGCTCACAGAGAGTTTTTTCGTGGTGGACTTGGCTCCTACCTCTCCTAACTTGACCCTTCTGAGTCCATTGGTGCGGTCAATTTCACACCATTCGGCCTGTAACAGTACCTATCGGGACCGGTAACGTCGGTAAAATCTGGCGACTCAAATCTCACAATTCCGGTCATCTATTCTTAAAATTAGTTGAGGGGTTTTCTTACCCGCTTCTTTCTGAGTGTTATGACACCGAAGTCACTACGATCCAACGGTTAGATCGTCGGAACCACCTCTTCCCTCCACGGACGACGGCAGTGGCTCCGTTTTTCGGCCAAACTGTGACGGTGACGGTGGCTGCTGGTTGGGATCTACTGGGCATCGGCTTCTGAGTCGATTGGTGGGGGCGGTGACATCCACGACGGCCTGGAGAGAGAGAAACGACGGCGACGGCGTCCGCGATTCCGACCACCACGGACGGCGGTGCTCCGGCCAGAATCGAGTTGTGAAAATAGATGGGTTTTCTTCATTTCGCTGCACTGAGTCCATATGGACTGAAATCATCTCAATCGGAGGTCGGATGGCGGAGATATCACGACGGGAAGAAATGGGTAATTTCGGAACTTCCGCTGGCGATTGCGGCTGATTCCGGCGGAGTTGGAGGTCGTGCCGCATGTCGTTGAACTCAGCTCGTCAAGATCTTTCTGTTGACACCGGCAATGTCAAAAATGGAGGTTGAAATCTCAACTTGGGTATTTGGCCATTGATGGTTTTTGTGAGAGAACGTGAGAGGAGAGAGAGAATGAGCGGAAATAAGAGAAAGAAAGTGCAAGAACCCTAAAAATTTCACTATATAAAGTATCTGATTAAAACAAGATTACGTGTCTGATCTTATCCTCAATTATTTTCTCTAAACAGATTAAATTTATACTTATTAGAGGTAATTAGTTTAGCTCACGTAAGTTAATCTACTACTTACAGTCTAATATTAATTTCTGAATAATTCAATATTGTTTTATTTTCTTACTCGCGTAATATTTCAAACTTTTTCAAGTCTTGAAATTAATTTTAGACTGAACAAATTCTAAATTTTACTTTTCTGCATTCTATCCCGGGAATGACGTTGTTTCTGACAGTGTCAACTCCCGAGCTTATATTGTACCCATCTACTATAAGTATTTATCTTGTGACTTTAACCTAACTGTCTAACAATTAAGGATTTTTTTCTTCTTTTAAAATGTCAGTGCGTTTTTTTTATACGCCGCTAACATCGTGCTGTGCTTGGAGATTCTTGAAATTAAGATTCTCAAACTATACTTGTACTGAAAATTATTCCGCCTTAAAATACGGTGAGAATTTATCAATCGAATTTACTTGATCGAAACATGAACTTAACATGAAATCTACTATAAAATTTAGGAATACATATATTAATTCCATAAATCCTCTATTCACAATATAACATAATATTTTTTAAAAAAATCCTTAACTTAAAAATAAATGAATTATATTATTTAAGGTCTGAAATTTTCTCAGTCATTATATTTAGCTCGACTGCGATTTTTAATTTTATTTTCTAATCAACCAAACAGTAGGTTTAGCTCACTCACTATTTACCGAGACACAACAGTATTCATCACCCGGTACTAAAACCCTGCGCCGGAAACTCTTTAAACCCTGAACAGTGAACAAGCTTAATTCAATCATTCCGAGCGAACTCTAATGGCCAGTCGAGCATTTTCAAGGTCAAAAATCTCAATCTTGGCCTCGGGATTATTTCGAGCAATCTACAGGACACCGATCAAAGATTCCCCGTTGCCTTTGAAATCGAAAGTTTCGGCATTTGAAACGGATCCGTGGAGACCCGTTTGCGGGTTTAGGGAGTACCATGACGGGAGGCCTAGAGGACCCCTTTGGAGGGGGAAGAAGCTGATAGGCAAAGAAGCGCTTTTTGTGATTCTGGGTTTGAAGAGATTCAAGGACGACGAAGAGAAGCTCCAGAAGTTCATCAAGACCCATGTTCTGAGGCTTCTGAAGATGGATATGTTTGCTGTTCTCATTGAGCTTGAGCGCCAAGAGGAGGTCGCTTTGGCTATCAAGGTGCTTTTTTCTTTTGCTTGAGTTTTGTTTTTATTATTTTATTTTATTGAAATGGGTTATTCTAGCAAAATGTTTGATTAAATGCTTGAAAGAAATGTGTGCTCTTGGGCAGCTTTCTAGTGTTCTTCTGCTTCTTGGCGATTTTTTTCCCCCTCATTTCTGTAAATGTTTAAGATTTTTCGTAGAGCAGTTTTAATGGATTATTGTTTGCAATGTGTTTGATTTAGTGCTGGAACGAAATATACGCAATTGAGCAGCTTTCTAGTTTCTTCCTCGTTGGAAACATGTGGCTTTTTGGGCATTCCTATGAGCAATGCCGGTTTGAGGAGTGTGATAGAAATCAAACTGGAGTTAGTGTTTACCTGTGATCCTACAAGATTAAGTTTTCTGTAGATTCTATTGTTTGATTGGTTTACTTGATTTTTCAAATATATGTTTTTAGCATTCTCCAGATCATTTAACTGGCTTTGCATTAGCTTCTACCTAGATTTCTAAGATTTGGTGTCGAATTAGTTATTACGTTATCAGATTTGGATTCAAATTGGTTTAGAAAAAAACTAATTAATGTCTATTTTACCATCCTACGTTAGCGCCTACAAGTATATCATGGCTAGAACATATTTCTAGAAAATGCATAAAAGAAAGTTGGCTTAGGCCGTTATTAAAGAAGACTATTACTTTCAGTTTTTGTGGTCTTGATTTTCGGTTAACTTGATTACAGGATTGGTCAACTTCAATTTCTGGCTTTTTTGTTGTAACGGTGACTTCTTCCTGTGATCTCACAAGCAACTGTGTGATTTTTCAGATATTTAACGTGATTCGAAAGCAAGATTGGTACAAGCCTGATGTCTACTTGTACAAGGACTTAATTATTGCGTTAGCAAGATGCAAGAAAATGGATGATGTCATGGGACTATGGGAAAGCATGAGGGCGGATAAGCTATTTCTTGACTCTCAAACATATGCAGAAGTTATCAGGGGCTTTTTGAGCTCCGGTTCTCCAGGAGACGCAATGAACATATACGAGGACATGAAGAAGTCCCCGGATCCGCCTGAAGAGTTGCCGTTCAGGATTTTGTTGAAGGGTCTTTTGCCACACCCTCTTTTGAGAAACAGAGTGAAGCAAGACTTTGAGGAGCTCTTTCCTGAGAAACATATGTATGATCCTCCAGAAGAGATATTTGGCGCACGCTGAGGTTTGCATTCGAACTGTATTTTCCATTTATTTTTATTGTTTTCTCCCGCTTTCTCTCTCACTAAAAATATATGTGTCTCCTGCAAATTTATACATAGGCACACTTCCTTTTCACATGCATTAGCCAGAACAGTTGTAGTGTGCTGTGTGCCCCTCCCTGGACTTGCTTTGGTATTGGTTGTTGTGAATCAATTGTATTGAGACTGACCTCAGTTTCTCATGGACAATATGGTGGCTCATCCATAATAAAACAATCTCTCGAAAAGTCGACTTAAGACCTAAACTTTTAATCGAGTTACAGTAGTAATGTTTTGATTTCCTTGCTATTATGTTCTTAATTAAAATTAATCTTTTCTGGGTACTCTGCAGTAACTGGCACTCATTCTGCAAGGCAAAATTTCTACTATTTTGTTCCCGAAAGAAGAAAAATAAGGAAGAAGAGGTTGGTTTACCTATGAAAGGAAAAGTCATGTTGCTGTTTAGATATGGGAGGCATACATCCTATTTCAAGTCTCATTCAGAAAAGTGGATACAGGATCAAGACACGAGTCAACCATAGAAATTCTATTTAAAAAAAAAAAAAAAAAAAAAACCTTTTTAAGCTGTTAGGATTCTTTCCCTTTTATCATTTTTAATAGGTAGTGAGGTTTTAGGAGTTTGAGTTGATTAATAGAAGATTGTGTGAATGGTTAACTTTTGTGTTCTTTAAACGTGTTTTAATCAACTCAAGCTCCTAAAATCTTTCTTCCTAAATTAGAATAATGAAGGGAAGGACAATGTCTGTCAAATCTTCCTTTGCTATGAATTTTGGAAGTCTCTTAGCATAACCTATGCAAATGCAATGCTGGAAATGTTGTATTGACAAGAATAAAACCGTTGAGTCATTTTTGTATTTACAATCAAGTATAACCCAAATAGGGACTCTAGTTTCCTTTCAGTATATGTGTGATTTGAGTAAACGTTCTCTGTTCATGAACTCTGTGTCCACTAATGCTACTGCTGCCGTCGCAAAAGAAAATAAAATCTCAGTGGGTTTTACTTATGCTCACAAACTTAGTCTTGGACTCTCAAATGTTGATGCTCAAATTATAAAATTATAAAATTTGCTAGAGAGTAGTGAAAGTTGATGCTCAAATAGCAAAATTGTCTTGTCAGGGTTTTCTGTTTCACACGCCACAGGTGGTGAACAAATCAGCGTTGGGTTCAAATTTTTGATAATCTGTAGTGTGATTTGCAGCGAGCTAGAGGCTAGAGCATCTCTACTCTGCGGTGCAAAATTCGAAATCCTATTAAATCCTATGGGGCAGGGGAATCAGAATGGGCTCTCGCTAGAGGTGACAATTCATGTTAATAAGTTATGTTCGTGTCAATTTATTTATTAATTGTGTCAAAAAATATTAATCTAAACACGACATTTTTATTAAACGTGTTAAAAATGTAAACTCAAACACGATCCATTTATTAATCGTGTTAATTATGTCAACACGTTTAAATTAATATATTGAATAAATAACTAATATAATAATGATTTATTTAATACGGTCATGACAGGTTTAATATGTTTATTGGTCAATTTATCTTTTTCTTTAAGAAAAATAAATGAATTTTATCTACAAATATTAAAATTCACATTTTGTCAGCCCTAGTTCCCGCACAATCCGATCTTTATTCAGTCCCGAGACCTTTCTTTATTATAAGAAAGATAAGCAATTAGTTAAATTCAATACATTCGATTTCCTTCTTAGGCTTCAGAATGAAGATGGTGAGCTCACATGAGTAGCTCCGGTCTCCTGTAGCCGCCTTGTTCTATGTCAGGTGATAAAGTGTTTGAAATAGACGCAAAGTCATGACAACCCGACTATATCAATGTTATATTATAATATTTGGGGTTAAAAAGCTGCTCTCTTACTCATAGTTATTTTTTATGCTAAATTTATAACTAAATAAAAATACATTAAAAATTTAACATTTGGTTGCTATTAGTTGATATGTTGAGCTTTTATTTAATAATTACAACATTGTCATTTTAAATTAATTTAAAAAGTAAAAATTTAGTTTTATAACTTACAAAACTTAATGATCATGATCATGAAAAAAAGTGCATATAGCATTATATATTGGAATATAAAATATAATGACATACTAAATATGTTATTTTACACATTTTTATGCTAAATATAACGCACATTTACATTTATATTAGAGATGATCTTTGGTGAAAATTTAATTTCTGTAGTAATAAAAGAAGCTAAATAAAGAGAAGTCTTCATAAAAATTAATCCAACAAAAAGTAGTGAACACATAAGAATAATAATAAATAGTAATAATAGTGTCATTAATAGTAAAAGCCACGCACAAGCACCGAAACAAAACTAAAATATTATTGCAGAATCGAAACATCATGTGGGCGTGCCGGAGTGGTTATCGGGCATGACTAGAAATCATGTGGGCTCTGCCCGCGCAGGTTCGAATCCTGCCGCTCACGCCTTTTTGCAAAAAAACACATCTTCGAAGAATTGGTTCTTTTCCTCCATTTTTTGACTTCCATGTTCTTTATCCTTGCTTGGCTGGCATACTTTTTAGGCTTGGTCTCTTCTTTTAGAGTGTGATTTGAGTGTAATTTTTGAGTTGAGTTTGAGTTATAACTTGAGTTGAAGTTGTAACTTGAATAAAGTTGAGTAAAGTTGAATAAAGTTAGAACTTAAAAGAACATGAACTTAAATAAAATTGGGCTTGTTCTTTTGACGTTTTTGAGTTAGGTAACTTGAGTGTAGATTTTGAGTTGAGTTTGAGTTATAACTTGAATTGAAGTTATAATTTGAGTTTGTCTTTGGTTGTGTACATTTGAGTTATAGTTTGAGATAAGAATTTTTTTTGAGTTTGTGTTTGAGTAAGTTAAAACTTGAATTTGTATTTAGATAGTATTTTAATAAAAACTCAATGCTGATGAAAAATTTTAATCGGGTATATGGGTCTAATTTTATTCATCTTTTCATTGTTAACGCATAGAAAAAAAATCATCTCAATTAGAATTAAAACGAAAAAGTTATATCATTTTTAAGAATAAAAAAAATACTGTTCATTTACTTGAGTTCGAGTTTCTGAACTCGAGTTGAAGGGAAAACTTGAACTCGAGTTTTAGTTCCAAACTCGAGCTCAAACTCAAGTTCAAACTTAAAAGAACATGAACTCGAATAAAGTTATAACTCGAGTTATCTTTTTTTGAGTTTTTTCACTTAAAAACCACTCTGCCGAACAAGGCCGTTGTAACTTGAGTTTAAACTTTTTTTGAGTTTTGTTGCAAAAGAACAACCTCACTTCGCTTGCTTCTGATTCCATCCTTTTCTCTTTTTTTTTTGGTTGAAATCACAATCTCAAAAGAGAAGAAAATATCTAAAAAATCAGGATTTTACATCCCGGATTCCGATAGCCATATATAATATTCAATAGAAAAGTCCTAGTGGTGGATTCAGACTAGGGGTGTTCGGCGGTTAAAAACCGTCAGTTTTGGTTGGTTCGATGGCCAAACCGACCATGTCAGTTTTTAAAAACCGGAAACCGAAACCGAACCGTAAAATTACAATTCGGTTCGGTTAACCGAATTTCGGTTTTCGATTTTAGTAATCTGGATGGTGAGTATCAGTTAACTATCAGGTTACCCACATATTTAGTTACATTTTTTGACCAGAAATTGTGAAAAAATGTAAAACATTCCTTGTATGCAAGCATGTAATCACAATAAATAAATACAAAGCACAATATCTAAATTGATAATACCACAAACACAAAAAATCCAAATCCAATGTCCAAAATCTAAAGTACAAACTAGAAATTTGAAAGTTACAACAAACAATACTAATGTTCAAAGTGTAAAAAACATTAAATTGGCATAAGAAATTAAGAAGTCCAAAGCATAATTAAAAAGCATAGTGAAGTTCATTTCTAATTTCTCATAAACCTCTTATTCCCCTTCATCCGAATCCAAATCCAAATCCAAATCCATTATATCTTCATATGTATCGCTACAATAGAAAATTAGAATTAAGTAAATGAAATTGAATAGATAATGAGAAAAAAAGAAGAAATAGATATAATTCTAATTATCTTACTTGGATCTTTTAGAAGATTTCGCATCATTTACTTGAGCGCTTCCGTCCTTTGAACACGTTGGGGTAGAAACAACCTCACCATCATCTACAAGAAAATTATAAATTAATTTACATATGTCATGAAATGAATAAAAAAGATATAATTATAACAAGTATGTGTAGTATGTACAATCATGATTAGTATTACCTGAGACAACATGATAGCAATCTGTAAAAGATTCAACCTCATCCATATATTGCCTAAGAACCACGGGTTCATATTCTTCATCCTTCGCGTTCAACCAACTTTTTAAGCAAATAAGTGCTTCCACCATCTTAGGAGCCAATGAACTCCTAAAAGGATCAAGACTACGACGATCGGTAGAAAAAGCTGATTCAGATGCAACCATCGAAACCGGAACTGCAAGCACATTTCTAGCAATTTGGGATAAGACCTTATACCTAGGAGCATTTACATTCCACCAACCTAGGATGTCAAAACTGTCATCCACTAGCTCTTCGCATTGCTCAGATAAATACTTATCCACATCATTCTTCTGTACATTTACATCATTCCCACTCATCTTTTGCTTTCTAAACATGGCCTCTATCTCATCATCAATAACCGGCATTGAGGCGGGCTCACTAGATGCCGTAATTATTGAACGACTTGAATTACAACCAGAATAAGTTTCTACTGAGTGAGCTGACCTTGTATTCCTAAATCGAGGTTTGGCCAACTGTGATAATTGCGGTTGCTTAAGCAAAGGTGGAGGAGGAGCCCGATCATGATATTCCTTATACAATCTACGCAATGTGTCCTCAACCCCTTTTAACAACGTGACAGATGTCGAATCATTGTAGATACACTTGAAGGCAAGAGCAAGATAATCCAACTTATATCTTAGATCAAGAACCAAGCCAAGAAACATCATGTGATTCATTTTCTCAACATTTCCCCAATACTTATCAAATTTCTGTTGGGAATAGTGTCCTAGAAGCATGAAATGTAATAGGATATTTATTATTTAATTAATAAAAGAGTTTATTCATCATTTTATGTGCATATATTTATGAATATTTTGTGAATATCAAATGAAAATTCCGTGATTGTTTATGTAACCTTAAACATAGTATATAAGTGTTATATACGAGAGGATAGTGTTTAAGGATAATAATAAAAAATATTGTTCATGATGAATTTAATTAAAGTTCAGAATCTTTAATTAAAACATTATTAATACATGTCATTCCCATTTAGAATGGAACGGTGTTATCCGCA